CCAAATTTTAAATGAAATAATGGCGGCCATCCACTCTTGCTCCCCCCTCCCCTAAGGGCGAGCAAATAAACCTCCACAGTTACTGGTTAAATGATTGATAGCGGCTTGGTAACGGAAAACCATTGATCGCTAGGGCGGGGGGGGGGGGGGGGCGAGGGGGGGGGGGCGGAGTTCCTGACAGACAGGGATGCCGAGAGTAGTGGACAACTGTGTTATACTGTGAAGTTGGGGACAAACGACTGGGGACAAGTTTGTTACACTGTGAAGTTGGGGACAAACGACTGGGGACAACTGTGTTACACTGTGAAGTTGGGGACAACGACTGGGGACAAGTTTGTTACACTGTGAAGTTGGGGACAAACGACTGGGGACAAGTTTGTTACACTGTGAAGTTGGGGACAAACGACTGGGGACAAGTTTGTTACACTGTGAAGTTGGGGACAAACGACTGGGGACAAGTTTGTTACACTGTGAAGTTGGGGACAAACGACTGGGGACAAGTTTGTTACACTGTGAAGTAGGGGACAAACGACTGGGGACAAGTTTATTACACTGTGAAGTTGGGGACAAACGACTGGGGACAAGTTTGTTACACTGTGAAGTTGGGGACAAACGACTGGGGACAACTGTGTTACACTGTGAAGTTGGGGACAAACGACTGGGGACAAGTTTGTTACACTGTGAAGTTGGGGACAAACGACTGGGGACAAGTTTGTTACACTGTGAAGTTGGGGACAAACGACTGGGGACAAGTTGGTTACACTGTGAAGTTGGGGACAAACGACTGGGGACAACTGTGTTACACTGTGAAGTTGGGGACAAACGACTGGGGACAAGTTTGTTACACTGTGAAGTTGGGGACAAACGACTGGGGACAAGTTTGTTACACTGTGAAGTTGGGGACAAACGACTGGGGACAAGTTTGTTACATTGTGAAGTTGGGGACAAACGACTGGGGACAAGTTTATTACACTGTGAAGTTGGGGACAAACGACTGGGGACAAGTTTGTTACACTGTGAAGTTGGGGACAAACGACTGGGGACAACTGTGTTACACTGTGAAGATGGGGATAAACGACTGGGGACAAGTTTGTTACACTGTGAAGTTGGGGACAAACGACTGGGGACAAGTTTGTTACACTGTGAAGTTGGGGACAAACGACTGGGGACAAAAGTTTAGGAACAACTTTGTTCCGGGGGAGAGTGGGCGACAAATCTGTGAGTCTAGTAGAATATTAGAAGTTTAACTTTTGGACTTAGTTTCATTCAGGTGATATATATATATATATATATATATATATATATATATATATATATATATATATATATATATATATATATATATATATATATATATATATATATGTATATATATATGTATATATATATATATATATATATATATATATATATATATATATATATATATATATATATATATATATATATATATATATATATATATATATATATATATATTAATACGCGTATATACGGATTTATATATACACATATTTTTACTTATACAAGTTATATATATATACATATATATATATATATATATATATATATATATATATATATATATATATATATATATATTTATTTATATATATGTGTGTGTGTGTGTGTGTTGCTAGGGTAGAACAAAATATGTGCTAATGGACTGAATAAAACCGCTGGGTGACGTAATAAGCTGTTGGTGTCCTTGTATTCAAACCTTTTCATTTTTCAACGAGACGTCGACATGTACGAACAAGTGACCCTACAGAGATCCTTAGTGACCTTACAGTGATCTTACAGTGACACTAGCACGGGCCACAGCAGTAGAAAATGTGCTTCAAGTATTCCAGCACTGTGCTGTGTGTCAACTTTACTGTCTTCAAGTATTCCAGCACTGTGCTGTGTGTCAACTTTACGCGCGTCTGTCTCGGGGTAATGAAGGATTTGTGGGAAAATTGAATTTAGGATCTGTCTCGCTGTCACAAGGGGGGGGTGGGGGGGGGGGTGGGGTGGGGCCTTACGGGGGGTAGAGACGCCAGTCTCCCTGGGCCTGGCAGCATTCAATACCGCCTGTAGCAATTATGTTAGAGCCCCGGGGGGTAAGGGTGGGACCCGGGGGAGTCGGGGTAGGCTGTCAACATGTTGCTGGGGTCAAGCCTTGGCTTACATTCTTCAGCACATGGTAGGGATAGATGAAAAGATTGGTTGTTTTAAAACAATAAAACAACAGCACATGGTAGGGATAGATGAAAAAATCGTTTGTTTTAAAACAATAAAACAACACCACATAGTAGGGATAGATGAAAAGATCGTTTGTTTTAAAACAATAGCACATGGTAGGGATAGATGAAATAATCGTTTGCTTTAAAACAACAGCACATGGTGGGGATAGATGAAAATATCGTTTGTTTTAAAACAATAAAACAACAGCACAGTTCGGGTACGTTTGATGTAAATTTTAAATGAGGCCAAACATAAATTGTATCAAATAGGTCAACTTTTAAATTAAAGAAACAAGTTTATTCTGTAAAAGAGTAATGATTTTTATTGCTTAGTAATAAGAAATATAGATTGCTTATTTTATTAATTATGTTCTAATTTTCTAATGTTAGTATTATTTAATTCTACTACTAACTGTCATTAAATTTTACTGATTATTTAATTAAATTCTAATTTTACTGTTAATTTTTTTTTTACTAATCCTTGATATCGAACTAAATCAACAACGTTTTCTCAAGGGACTAAAACACTTTGATTAACTCCAAATATTTGTCCACACGTATACAAGAGTTAGCGCCCATGATTAAAATTCGATACTTAAATCATAAAAACTAATCCTTGCGAAAAAAACTGCGGTTGCATGACTTAAGCAAAAACTCATCAACGTTATCGTTTTTTATTTGCAGAGTTGAGGCAGGTTTCGCTATCGCCTTGCAGACGATCAATGCGTGTGGTTGTCTGCTAACTAAGTCTTGTGTGTCGTTGATTGTTTGGTGAGGTCAAAACACCGGGGAATTTATTGTTGAGGCGAGTCTCGTCATGTTGGAGCCATGTTGGTTGTGGTTAGAGAAATGTTGCATTACAGTTTGAGCAGTCAACCTAATGCAAGAGGTGGGGAGTCAACTCGTGGGGATATCAACCTTATCAACCTATAGCAACCTATCAATCTGTTTTATCTTATATCTACCTGTATAAACCTGTATCAACCTGCATCAACCAATAGCAACTTATATCAGCCTGTATCAACCTATCAATCTGTTTCATCTTAAATCAACCGATATCAACCCATATCAATCTGTATCAACAATTATCAACGTGCCATAGGTACATCATCACCGAGGCTTATTCGTAATACTTTTATAATTGATAATATCAACAATTGAACGAATATTATAAACATTACAAGTCATTAATTATCAGCACTTAACACTCTAATGACATCAACATTTCACAGGTGACGCTTTAACTTTAATCACCAATACTATCAACATTAACAAATGATATTCCCAACATTACAACTAATCATATAGTTATTCTCAACTGATCGTACCAACATTTACAATGACAAAATGATCATTATCAACCAGCACTATCAACATTATGAAGAACTGACTCTATCACCATGAACCACAAACACTATCACATTACCAACTTCAATACCACAAATCTAGTTTCGTAACCCCTTTGTTACATAGCCCAAGTTTCCAAACAATTGAAAATAAATCATTTCCTTTAGTAACTATCCTGATCGCCCCTTCAGAAGAGTTCCATTATCTGTTCTATTCTGTCGCAAAGCGCTTTAAAAGCTTAGCATCTCATTAGATGGTAGAAGCGACTCGCGGACGTCCATCAGAAAAAACCTCGAACAAAGCCTCCAACTGGATGACGCCGGAGACTTGGAGGTGAAGGACGAGGATTGACAGACCGCCAAACTTAATCTTAGATTCAAGGAGAGTTCCGTCTTGCAGTAGTGGTCGGGGTGTCGTCGGATAGGGGTGGGGGGGGGGCGGCAGGTTCATGATTTCTGCACTGTTTGTTGGGTGACATCAAGCAACAGGAGGGAGAGGGGATGCGTTGAGGGGAAGGGGGGGATGGTGATATGTGCTATCTTTACTCAGTCGTAGAGAGGGGGAGGGAACCGAACCCATAATTTCTGCATCGTTTGTTGAGTGACCTTTTGTAGTAGGCGGAGATGGGGGTGGGGGGGGGGGGAGGATGCACAAGGGCAGTGATTTGATGCTCCCATTTTGTTTCAACAGGTAACTGGGTGGCATGGGAGGGGAGGGGAAGGTGTTGGTCAGGTCAATGGGTTCTTAAAACCATTTTTTTGTGACACCTTCTCTACTAGACCCATTTGTTTGCTACAGAACTCACGTATTTTTCATCGTCCACTAATAGGGTAGATTTTTCTAGGAACTAAATTTGGTTAAGTTTGAATTCACTAACCGCTATTCTAAGCGAATATTGCGACATACTTTAACACAGATGTTTGGGGACATGTATTTCTCCCTGTGTCCCATGTATTTGTCCATTTACCCAGCATTTGTCCATTCCTTTTGTATTTTCCCGTGTCAATGTATTTGTCTATTCCCCCTGTATCTGACCATAATCACTGTATTTGTCCCTTTACACTATATTTGCCTGTATATTTGCCTGTATGTTCCATGTCCCTGTATTTGTCTATACCCCTGTATTTTTCTATCTCCCAAGTATTTGTCCATACCCAATTTGTTCATGTTCCAGCTAATGACAACAGTCACGTGACTCCCGTCCCCCTTATAATCACCACTGTGCTGTGGCATGTACAAAATTAGGCCGTGCGAAACTTCTCATCCAGCCACCCCCAGTAAAAAAATCTTCACAATTTTTTCCCAAGTCTTCCCAGCACAGTTCTCACACCAGGGGCGACAACCTCCTGCCTCCCCTTTAACAATACACCCCCCTCATCAGTTGCGTCCCCTTGCTGTAAGAAATACGTGGAGAGGGAGGTAACTCACCAGGAGGATGTGCTGCTCCGGCTGGAGGGGCTCCTGACTTGGGTCTCTGAGACGCTGCCGATACGGGAGGCGGCGTGCAAGGGTTCTGGTTTCTCGGAGCTTTTGCCCTGCATGCGTTGTCGGCAGAGATCCTGTGGGGGAGAGGGAGAAATGTGAGTGTGAGGGGTCGGGGTAGAGAGATTCTGGGGGGGGGGGGGGAGAAATGTGAGTGTGAGGGGTCGGGGTAGAGAGATTCTGGGGGGGGGGGGGGAGAAATGTGAGTGTGGGTGGTCGGGGTAGAGAGATCCTGTGGGGGGGGGGAGGGGAGAAATGTGAGTGTGGGGGGTCGGGGTATAGAGATCCTGGGGAGGGGAGAAATGTGAGTGTGGGGGGTCGGGGGGGGGGGGTTCAGGGGTCGGTGTATATAGATCCTGGGGGGGGGGGGGTCGGGGAGAAATGGGAGTGGGGGGGGTCGGGGGGGGTCTGGGTATAGAGATCCTGGGGTGGGGAGGGGAGAAATGTGAGTGTGGGGGGTCGGGGTATAGAGATCCTGGGGGGGGGGGGAGGGGAGAAATGTGTTGGGGGTCAGGGTATAGAGATCCTGGGGGGGGGAGGGGAGAAATGTGAGTGTGGGGTTGAGGGGTAGAGAGATCCTGGGGGGGGGGGAGGGAGAGATGTGATTGTTTTGTGTGTGGAGGTAGTTGTGGGGTCAGGGCATGTGTAAAGGATAAATGTGTTTGTTTTGTGTTGAGGAGGATTCCAAATATCCTTTTTAACCTAAGTAGGATTAAAGTTTATTTTCGCTGTATGGTGGATTTCAAATATTCTTTTTAACAGTATTATACTTTAAGCTATTTAAAATACAATCACGTTGTTTTACTCTTTAGCTGCTGACGACATTACTACACAATCATTTAACATTTTCATAGCAATATATGCTGTAGCGGTTGCCAATTGAAATGAACCTCACGATGTAGATACTAAACTCCCAAGGTCTCACTAATTAAGCTGATAAATATTTCTATTTAATTATATTGTTTCTGGTTCTCGAATCAGGTTTTCGTTGTGAATAATTGCTTTTAGATTTAAAATGTCATGAAAAAAAAAACAATGGAATCTGTGAATCAAATTACACGAGTGATTTTTTTTAAAGATTCGACTTTTTGTTTTGAATTGAAAATGCTCTGTCCTTTTTGTTTGATGCTTTTAAATAGTCAAAATCTGAAAACTGCTATTGTAAGACTTAAAAAAAAAAAACCAACCCACCCCACCATTCTAATTATAGATTCCCGTTATCGTATCAGTTTCCCAATACTAATATATTTTGTTACAATAACTAAAGAGTAAAGACAATTCTATCGGTTATCTCCCCGCCTTGTCGCAGCGGAACTAGGCATTATCTGCCCTTCCTATTCCCACGACTTCCTGTCCCCAATGGAAATCGATACCGGTCAACCTCTGAACTTCGGGCCACAAGAGCATGCTTTTAGCTTAAAGCAAACTCCGAATGCCTGCTGTTAACTTTTCATCCATTTACCAAATGGATAGCAACGAGAGAAAATGTCCAATTTATTTTGAAGCAAAAAAAAAAAATCTTTTCAACATTTCTTGTAAAGACGTATCATAAACCCAATGGGGTTCATCAAAATAAAAAACAATTTACATCCGAGTTTATTTTTCTTCTGGTGAATTAAAAGAAATTTAAACCGATGCATTGGATTTCAAATTCGATTTCATCTTGGGGGCTTATTATCGATTGGTCGCTTCGATCCCTGCTGGTATTGAGTTAATGACGTTTTGGTAGAGTACGGGCGTCAAGTGAATATCAAAGTTTAGTTAATCCAGAAATTAATAACGTGTTTAAAACACAGTTTAGGTAATTTTGACTTGACGCTAAAAAAAATTAGAAACATAAAATTTACTTGTTTAGTTATCATGAATACAACACATGTATGAGATGAATACTAATGGGCTAATTTGTATTCTGAGTGTTCTAGTTTGGTTGGCATGGACTTCCGGGAAATCCCCACCCCCCTCTCCATCATAAGAAACCACTCAACCCCTTTCCAACCCTCCAAAATAATATTTATCATTCAACCCCAACATCATAAGCCAACCCTTGTCCAACCACCTCTGGCTTACACTGTATATTTAAGTATATTACTCCCACCCCTCAATCACACCACCCCTTCTCAACCCGAAACCCCTTGACAACCCACACCCCTTATCTGCCCAGACTTCTAGCCCTACAACCACCCCCAACCACCTGAATACCATAACCCTATATCTATACACCTTTACAACCCATCATCACTTTCGTGCAATGCATCATCCCTCAATCAACCCATACCACTTGACAACCCACCACCCCTTTTATACCCACCCCTCTACCCCCACAACCACAACCTACCTAAATCCTAACATCAAAACAACAATATCTAGCCTTCCTCTTATCCACCCCCCCCCCTCATATATCCATCGAAGCACCCAATAACCTTTGACCCACCTGGTAGTCTTTGGACGCCTCGTTTCCATCGGCGTTGGTTGCCAGTTGGGACAGCTTCTGCTTGGACCTGGCATGTCGCTTGATGAGGTAGATGGTGACCACAGCCAGCACGACGCCAGCGATGGTACCCACAAGGATGAACGTCAGCACCACGTAACGGTTGTTCTGCTTCACCTCCACACGGTTGCCCTGGCAACGGGAGAAATTCGTTCAATGCTGGTCTGACTGTTATGTTATTGGTAGTTGTGTTTGAGATCACAATGTCATACTAACTTATGACTTATTGGTAGTTATGTGGACCTCACACACCACAGAGTAAGTCGTTTAGCCTTGACGTCAGTGTAAAGATTTGGGTCAGCTATTGATATCAGTCATGGAACTAAAGTCAATAAGTTAAGCTCTTCTTTATATCTAGCGATCCATTGGGGAAATGGGACGAGTTTATATGTTTCTTGAACTCCCGGTATGAAAGGATAGTGTGGTCAGCACTATGCCCAGCCACCTTTACTTTCCCCAACTTAAGTCAGGTACCCATAAGAGCTGGGTGGACTCAGGTATGTACTAAAGCCACAAGTCCCAACCAAGATCAGACTCGACACCTTATTGAACTAAAGCTACCCCCAAATTTGACAATATTATTATACAACCAAATAGATTTTTTTACACAGTAGTTACAAATTAAATGTAAGTAATTACGTGATTTATTAAACCGAGTTATTCAAGTACATAAATATAAATTAAAAACAAAAGTTTAAACAAAATGCATTAAAACAAAGCGCGTCGATTTTGCGACATGATGTAAGTGAAAAGTAATTCTCGTTTTGATTTGAAACCAACATCCCCAACCTAACTACGGCCAGCTACATAAAATCAGCTTATACCGCATCTCGCGACAACTAATTTTAGCTGTGTAAATAAAACCCAACCAACTAATTTCCTCATTAGAGTTACATCCCTTAGTAAAACACCCATCCCCCGTTGACTGTTCGTGATTGTCACTTACTATTTAATCCGCAAATCCGGAGCCCATTTTGAACAAACCGCGGTCAGAATCCGGCCCCATTTCCATTTCACTTTGAGCGATTTAAAAGAATTTTTTGGCTTTAGAGTGCTACTAAAATGTTCCTAGCAGGGGGTATTACGTGCACGGGCAACCAGACGTCAATAAAGTCGAGCCGGTTCGGTTGCTCCCTGCCGGACTGAGTTAGCCGGCAGTGGGGGTAAAGTTACAAAAAACAATGTCTACGAGCATTCGGGGAAACCCGGAGAATGAATAGCCAGACACCAGGTTTCCTGAGTGAATAAGGCATCTAGGCAAGGTGCGGGGGAATTTATGGGGAATTTATTTAGCACGCTGTTGAGATCAAGACTATAAACACATCTTGGAGCTGAGAAATGGCTGAGAAACAAGGACTATGCAAAAAAGATGTTTTCTGTAATACAATGCGGGTTAAGCCGCATCCTGCTATGCAGCTATTATCTTCACGCGAAACCTCGTAGGTTCTAAAAGGCCGAGAGAAAACGAGAACTAATTACTAGCAACGTGCCCGGCTTTATTTTTGTCCTTAAAACAAAAAAAAAAATCTGGTTTTAAACTATAGAGGTATTGTGTTACGGTATAGTTGGTCAGACAATTACACAGGGCATGTAGAAAGGGCGGGGGGAGTAAACAAGATTTGTTAGCCCCCTGGGGCGTCGAATGCCCGTCGGCGGTGGTGTCAAACCTACGGGAACGTGACCAAGGGGCAGATAATTGCGGAAGTGTAGATAACTCTGGGGTATACGAATAATGTAGTCGGTAATTTTTGACGTCAATACGAGAGGGGAGGCTATCCATTACACATCCACGGCTTTGTCGTGGCTTGTTTTTGTTTCAATTTATTCCTAGCGAATTACAAAAAAATTAAATTACACATTTCCAAAGATTTCTTTTTAAATACAAAAGTATACATCGATACGTAAACGAACCTCATGATATTTTATTGTATTAATTTATTTTAAAGCGAGTTATTTTTTAAAAACGATATTTTAAGTGAAATAATCAAAACCTAAAGTTTTAGATGTAAGTTTAAAAAAACAAAAGAAAAAAAATATCAACTTCCGGTTTTGATAAGATCAAATGAAAAAAAAACCGGATCAGACAATACCGAAACAAAAGTTTAAGTTGGAAGTCCCAAGTATCAGCACAGTGATCGGATCAATAGAAACGTTTCGATCTCCAGCACGCGCGTCCAGCGTGGGTCCTACATTATTTCTTATCAATCAAATCAATCAGCTGGGTTTGTGTAATCGAAGTGTCAAGATCAATACGTGTTGAGTTGGTTGAAAAACAATAGGGATGGTTGGTTTTAGGTTTCAGACATGACCCTGTCACAACAACCACACTCAACCTGTCGTTACAAACACGCACAATCCGGTCTCAACCACCACACGTTAACAACAACATACAACCTAGTCATAACAACCACACACAACCGTGTCGTTACAACCACGCACAATCCAGTCACAACCACCAAACGTTATCAAACACACACATCCAGTTATAACAACCACACACAACACAGTCACAACCACCACACGTTATCAACATACAACCCAGACATAGCAACCACACACAACCCTGTCATTATAACCACGCACAACCAAGTCACAACCACCACATGTTATCAACAACATACAACCCAGTCATAACAACCACACACTATCCAGTCATTACAACCACACACAACCCTCTCATAGCAACCACAAACCAAACTACGCGACATAACACAAACCTTTACCCGGTGCACATTACCAATATCCAACAAATATCAGAGCTCAAAATAGTATAACCAAAGTTAACAAAAAAATTATGTGTTATAAGAAAATAGTAATTTTAGATTATTAATGTACATTTCTGTTGAAAAAATTACCCAGAACAAACATATATAAGTAACAGTGTCGTCCATCAATGACGCAACAATATTTCCCTCACCTTTAACCCCCGACCTTATTCTGATAGTAACAGAACGTTCGGACCCCACCCTATAAAATAAAGTTCTAGTCATACCTATAATTAAATCTCAATGCTGAAAGTCTGACCCCCACCTCCTTCACTGAGTAGAGTTGTGTTTATTAATTAATTAAGGAAAACCGGGCTAAAATGTGTTTTAAAATAATCCTCTTAGTATTAATTTAAAGTTTATCTCGTTATTTGTTGTGAATCAAGGAGCCAGGCAATTTTAACTTGCTGAGCAATGAATCAAGGAACACTCATTGCTATATTGGTGACTAACTAATTAAGGAACCACCCAATGTTAAGTTGGTGACTAATTAAGGAACTACCCAATGTTAAGTTGGTGACTAAATAATTAAGAAACTACCCAATGTAAAGTTGGAGACTAACTAATTAAGAAACTACCCAATGTTAAGTTGGTGACTGACTAATTAAGGAACTACCCAATGTTAAGTTGGAGACGAACTAATTAAGAAACAACCCAAATGTTAAGTTGGAGACTAACTAATTAAGAAGCCACCCAATGTTAAGTTGGTGACTAACTAATTAAGAAGCCACCCAATGTTAAGTTGGTGACTAACTAATTAAGAAACAACCCAATGTTAAGTTGGTGACTAACTAATTAAGAAAAAACCCAATGTTAAGTTGGTGACTAACTAATTAAGAAACCACCAAAAGTCCACCTGTTGATTAACTAGCAGCACACCAACAAGTTGCTATAGCTACAATTGTCCTACTCGTCAACTTTAGGACAACTGCTGACCTAATGGACCAGGACAAAACTCGTGTTACCCCTGTCCTTCTTGTCCCACTGTAGGACTTAATGCCAGAATAACACTGCCATAGAGGACATATTGCCAGAATAACACTACCATAGTTTGAAAGATGGCAACAGTTACGTCACACACCATATAACTGTACACGTCAACATACACATGTGTTATTTGTAACATAATTTATGTTGACAAGTGACATATTTAACCTTATTTGGTTATGTGATCTACACATACACCATATTTCTTTGTTAATTTTTTAAAACTAGTTCTCAGATTGATGAAAACAAAAAGAAACAACCACAAGGAAAGTAATACTCTAAAAAAAATTGCATCACTTTTATAAAAATCTAACTTGGGCCATAGTCTGGTAATTTATTAAAACCAACAATCGAACTTTAATGATGAAAAACTACCCAACCAAATTATGAAGTACTACCTCACACAATGATTCCGTAATTTAACAAAAAACATATTTTACGTAAGATTTGTTTTCTAATATTAAATCACATTTCTTGAATAAATTAGTCAAATATATGTATACGATTCTTGAATAAATTATGCAAATACTAGTTGTACCTTACCTTGTGGGGCAGGGGACGCAACTGCTGACATGTGTAGAACCGGAAGTATGGCCTGTCACTGTTGTCACGAGACTACACGAGGGGCGGGGGCGCCGAGAAATTCCCGCCAGATTGAGCAGCTCATTAGCATAATCAATACCAGGTTTATCGTGTATTCCCTTCTGATCAAGTTCGTGTCCAACACGGAATATCAAACCAACAAGTACTGAGATATACGGAACTTTGCTTCAAAGTCCAAGTTAATGTTTCTAAAATTTTCTTGGTAAAATTGCGAAAACATTATTAAAAACACAAAGCGCGCGAAAACAAGCCGGGTTTAAATTTACAACTCGTGGTTCTTTCTGATGAAGTGTGTGTGTAGAGTAAATACAAACATCGTTTTGTCGAATTCCTGTTGGAAGGACATCGTCTGCTGTCAGGTTCTGAGTGTCGAAGTCTGCCGGACACGACCAGGCATCTACCGGCGAGGTAAAATCATGCGACACCGCGCTAAGCGTGGTTGTCACAAGCGCGCGGACCTCCAAGGGGTTTGACCTATTCTTCATCTGTAGGCCACGCCGCGTTGCTCCCCACCCGCTCTCTCACACACACCGGCCTATTGATCAACAGATTTTTACATTCCCGCCCCCAGAAGGGCCAGCTGACCAAAGACGTTGCCATAGCAACGCAAACTGTTAGCAGTGGCAGAGATGGTGGAGGTTCCTGCATTAAAACAAGCCTTTCTTCCATTTTTATTGATTGGGCAATCTCGACCAATCTCGACTCCCCCCCCCTCCCCTCACTCCCAACCACTACCCCCACCCCCACCCACCCCTCGCCGCCTGTAACCACAGATTC